CCCACCGGAAGCAAATACCTACAAGAGATCAATGCTTGGTTTTAGGTACCCATTTTGTAATGGGTCCTTTGATGTTAGTAACAAGGGTCTTAGGAACCCAAATAGATCATTCAATGTACTCATAAGGAGAACCAACAAATTTAGCATAAACATGCCCATCACTAGCACGATACAACACATAAGATGGGTTAAAGTCGTCAGCTTTGTTGGAAGGGGTGGCATTGCCCTTTTTGACATCACCACCCTTCACATTGTTCTTCTTCTCCTTTGGAGCACCCTCTCCCTCCTTCACAAAGGTTTGCTTGAGAGGGGGAGGTCATTTGGTCTTGTCGTTCTTCTTCTTGTTCTTTGACTTGGGTGCGAACCCAACTCCCTCCTTGGCCACAACTTCCTTTTGATTGCTCAAAAGGTCATTGAGGTTCTTCTCACCTTGTATGCATGTCACAAGGCCTTTCTCAAGTTGCTATTTCAACTTGGCATTCTCCTCCACAAGATGCACATGATCACAACACGGGTTAGTAGCATTTGCATTATCAATTAATACCATGTGAGGAAAGGTGGCTTTCTCCTTGGTTAGCTTCACTTGGAGTTGATCATGAGACTCCTTGAGTTTAGCATGAGCACCCTTCAAGACCTTGTGGGCCTCATCGAGTAAGTCAAACTCCTTCTCGAGTCTAGCATGGTCAACCCCAAGTTTAGCCTTCTCGGAATTTAGCACATGAGGTACAACGAGAGCATGATCAAGATCTTTCTTTAATTTAGCATGGTCATCGTTGTGTGACTCCTCAAGAGCCAAATGATGCCCATACTCTTCCTCAAGAGCATTATAGAGATCCTATATCTCATCGGCATAGTCACGACTATGACCTTTCATCTTAGAGATGGTTTCTTCATGAGCCTCAATCATGTCATTGGCTTCGCCAAGTTGTTCCAAGAGAGCAATAAAGTGCTTCTTGGATTTTCCCTTGAGCTTACTCATAAAAGACTCAAATTCATTCACTTCCTCATTAGACCCCCCCCCCACTTTCATCAATGCAATCCGTCAAGGAGGGATTAGTAATGATGGTGGTTTTGATGTTGGGGGTTACCTTGTTAGTGGCTTTAGCCATGAGGCACTTGGCGGTGATGTTCTCGTTGGGTGAATCGAAGAGAGATACCCGTGGAGTTGTGGCAATGGCAACGGAGACCATGGCCATTGCTTCACCATCTTCATCATCATCGTCATCCTCATGGTATTCTTCTTGAACCACCAACCCTCGAGTAGGAGTCTTTTTGGTGAAGTTGTTCTTGTTGGGGAAGGACTTGGCTTTGTCTTTTCGGATGAGCTTGCCACCATTGTCTTCCCGCTTCTCGTAAGGGAAATCCACAACAAAGTGGCTCACATTGCCACAATTGTAACATGTTCTCACTCGTTGCTTGCCCTTGAAACCACTCGAGTTGTTCTTGTTGAAGTTGGGCCTTGTGTTCTTCTTGCTCCAAAATTGCCTTGAAGCAAGAGCCACGTGCTCATGATAATCATTTTTTGTATCTTTGGGGTTGCTCTCCTCATCTTCCTCTTCTTCCTCTTCTTCCACAATAACCTTGGCCTTCAAGGCAAGGTTGGGCTTCTTTGCTCTTTGAGAATGCAACATCGCGTTGTCGACGGTCTTGTCCAAGATCCTCATTGCCATGAACTCATCCAACACTTCATTTGAGGTCAAGGAGTGGAAGTCCGGTCTTTGACAGATGACGGAGGACATGGCCTTGTGGTAGGGCATCATGGCCTTGAGGAACTTGCACTTGATCCAATTTTCATCAGTATCCTTACTCCCATGATCTCGGAGTGAGACCGCGAGAGTGGTCAATGTCCGGTAAAGCACACGAGGTTCTTCGTCTTCATTCATTGCAAACTCATCGGCTTCATCTTGCACCACTTCATAGTTGGAGTGTTGAATGCTAGCGCTTCCCTTGTAGAGGGAAACAACATGGTGCCATGCTTCCTTGGCCATGGTGAATGGTCGGAGATGAGCAATGTCTTCGGGTGGAATTGCATCTTGAATGATGAAGAGAGCATTCTCATTGAATTGATTATCCGCGGCTTCTCTTGGAGTGAAGTTGCTTGGGTCATGCAGATAGAAACCTTCTTCAATAATTCTCCAAAGATTAGTGTTAACATGTTTTAAATGACACTTAAAGCGATAGACCCAAGCATCAAAATCTTCATTTTTCACAATCTTAGGAGGAGGGCCGGCATGATTTAAATGAGTAGAGGGAATCGGTCCTCCATAAGTAAGTGGAGGTTCCACATGGGCAAAGATGCCGGTGCCATTTCTACCACTAGTAGAAGGACCCTTTTCACTAGTAGCTTCCCCCTTGTCGGAGTTAGCACCCGTCACCTTGTTAGTGGGATCACCCACTTTCATCAGCGAGGTAGAAAGTTTAAGCCCTTCTAAGAATTTATTAAACATGCTTTCAACCTCGGTCGTCATGGAGGTTTTCAATGTATCCAAAGCCACATTGAATTCCTCACGAGAGACCGCAGTTCCCCCATCGGCCTAGACGAGCTCGGATTCACACCGGAGTGCTCCTTCCCACCGTCTACGCTGTCAACCATACTCTCCGGACGACAAAGTCCTTAATAAAGAGACGAGGCTCTGATACCAATTGAAAGGATCGATATACTTGACTACAGGGGGGGGTGAATAGGCAACTAACAATTTTTAGCTTTTCTTTACCAAATTCAGCTTTGCATCAAAGTACGTTGTCTAGATATGCAACTAGGTGAGCAACCTATATGATGCGATAACAACAAGCACACAAGCAAGCAAGAGATGCAACACAATATAAGCTTGTACAAGTAAAGGTGAGAGATAACCAAAAGGGGAACCGATGGAGACGAGGATGTGTTACCGAAGTTCCTTCCTTTTAAGGGGAAGCACGTCTCTGTTAGAGCGGTGTGGAGGCACAATGCTCCCCAACAAGCCACTAGGGCCACCGTATTTTCCTCACGCCCTCACACAATGCGAGATGCCGTGATTCCACTATTGGTGCCCTTGAAGGCGGCAACCGGACCTTTACAAACAAGGTTGAGGCTCTCTCCACAACTTAATTGGAGGCTTAGAACGAAACCCGGAGCTTCACTACAATGGAATGTGGCTCCGAAGTGACCTCTTCTGTCTAGGGCGCCCAAGCACCCATGAGTAACAAAATCCACACAAGAAAGTATGGGGGAATCAAATATCCTTTGGTGGAAGTTTAGATCTAGGTCTCCTCCTTCAATCCCTAGCATATCAACGAGTTTGAGTGGCTAGAGAGAGAGATCGGGCAAGAGAGCTTTAATGGCAGTAATGGAGGAAAGAGAGAGGCAAGAGGTAGGTGGGAGGTAGGAGAAGCACATCCTTAAATAGGCCCCCCAAGATCCAACCGTTATGTGCAGAAATGCATAGGAGCGGAACTTTCGGTGGCGCACCCGGTAGTACCGGTTTATCGAAACAAAACGGAACTACCGCACAACCACCGCTCAACTACCGGGCCACATGCAGAAAGTAAACCCCTCGGGCCGGTAGTTGGACCGTAGGTTGGACCGAAACTACCGTTGGGCCAGCAGTTCCTGGGCGGTGGGGTCCGAGGCGGTACTACCGCCTTGAACACCGGTAGTACCGATTTATCAAGAAAAGCCGGAACTACCGTTCCACCACCAGTCTACAACCGCACCCGGTACAGAAGCGAGTCACCCCAGAGCGGTACTACGGGCGGTGGTAAGACCGGAACTATCGGCCAGCGGTACAACCGCTCAAAGAAGCGGTACAACTGCCAAGAGCAGGACTGGACAAAACAGAGGATGTGGAACCTCTCTCTCCTCGAACGGAGGGTATATGGTGGGTGCAGAGAATGTGTACGTGAAGGATTCACCCAATACCTTCCGATGTGGATTCCCTCTTAATAGAACGAATATCCTACGATCAAAGGAAATAAAACGTCGGAACCTCCGTCTTCGATCTTTTCCGCACAGAGGGAAACCTAACCGTCTTGCGCCACACAAAGTGTACCTGAGAAAACTATTGCGCACGATTAGTCCACATGTGTTGTCATCATCACCAAAACCCTAAGGCAGAGGATGCCCTTACAAACGGCAAGGTGGTAGGCGCTCCGTATAGTGAAGACCCCTATGGGATCGGGCGCCCATGCAAGGACATCGTCGAAACCCCTTGTCGACAGCTTGATCTTCATGATATCCGCAACATCCCTGGGAAGGAAGTGTCGTCGTAGGAGATCTCCATTCCACCTCCCGGCATCATCCAATAGCTCCGCCATGCGTCTCAAGAGGCATGTACCTCTCGGTGACACCGACTTGAAGGAGAAAGGGCGGGGTAGCCAAGGGTCCCTCCAAATGCGAATGTGTTCCCCATTTTCTACCCTCCAAATCAAGCCCTTCTTGAGAAGTTCGAGGCCATAGTGGATAGCGTGCCAAGTCGGCGAGGCATTACCTGAAAACACAGTATCTTCAAAATTACCATTAGGGTAATACCTTGCTTTGAGATTGTAATGAGACACCACGCTTGCCTTGCTAACAAGGCTTGATTAGACATAATGAAATCTCGAAACCCCAAGCCACCTCTGCACTTAGTCTCGATGATCTTATCCCATGTCTGCTTGATACCATATCAAGTATTATCTGCCAGATATCATATCAATAGAATGAATTCTAGAAGGAATAACAGATTCGTACAGGCACGCACGCAACGCACGTCACAAGATCACACAACTATGGCTTTATAATTAAAACTAAAACAGAGCTCTGATCGCTATTTTGGTCATCCATTTCAACGAAAATCGACACACATGGGCTTGATCCGGTAGTGTTGCCCACGACTGGACTTAACCGCAGAACATCTGTGATGCTGATCGTGAAGTTGTTATTTCACAAGAATATATAGGTGCACGGAACCCCTCCATATAGGCAGCAAGATCTCACATGTGCCACGCGAACACAGTGCAGAGTTGCAGACCGAGCCATCGAGATGATAAGGTGGGGGGACGTGTACAAGGTGGTGGCCGCCATGGCGCCAATCTACTTCGCCCTGGGACTCGGGTACGGCTCCGTGCGGTGGTGGAAGCTCTTCACGCCGGACCAGTGTGACGCTGTGAACCGCCTCGTGGCCTACTTCGCGGTTCCTTTCTTCGCGCTCGACTTCGCCGCGCGCATGGACCCATACGCGCTCAACTACCGCGTCCTCGCCGCCGACGCGCTCTCCAAGCTCGCCGTCGCGCTGGCTCTCGCAGCCTGGGCCGCCGCGTCCACTCACTGCTGCCGCGGTGGCGGCAAGCGCGGCGGGGAACTGGCCTCATCGTGGTGCATCACCGGCTTCTCGCTGGCGACGCTGACCAACACGCTCGTCGTGGGCGTGCCGCTGCTGGACGCCATGTACGGCGGGTGGGCGCGCGACCTCGTCGTGCAAATATCGGTGGTGCAGATCATCGTCTACTTCCCGCTCCTCCTGTTGGCATTCGAGGCGAGGCGTGCCTGGGGTGGTGGCCCCGGGAAGCCGGGCGCCGAAGCGGCTTTAGCGAGCGACGGCGACGTAGAGGACGGCGGCGCGGAGGATTCGAGGCAGCGCCAGCCGGTGTGGCCGTTGGTGAGAGCGGTGTGGCTCAAGGTGGCGCGGAATCCCAACGTGTACGCGGGCATGCTTGGCGTCGCGTGGTCGTGCATCACAAACAGGTACACCTGCAGCGCCGCCTCTTGGGCTTGTTGTAACTTTTTAAGGGCATCTCCAACTTTGACATGTAAAACCCATACCGCATCCGTCTGACGGATTAGGCGACCAGTCCGTGAACATGGGATGCGGGAGCCAGCCATCCATGTTATCTGTACATTTTAAAGAAGATTTAAAATAACTAGACGAAATTAATGTAAACCAGCTAATTTCATATAAATCAAATGAAATTCATTACATTTCAAACATTTCTTAACTAAAACTAATCTAAATGATCGCCGGCGCCTGTTCCTCATGTCCGGCTGGCCGTGATCCCCGCGAAGTGAAGCTCCAGCTCCGCCTTTCCAACATGCAAATGGCTAAATCGGCCGACGAGGATGAGCCCGCCGAGCTTAGCTTCAGCGGGAGGGAAGGAGCGGTGGGCTTCTGGGGACCCTAGCGCCAATGACCTACCATGCAGTACTCTTCCTCACTGCCGTCGTCGTCGTGGCGCCATGTCGCAGCCGTCGCGGAGCTGTCAACCTCGTCGCCATCGTCGGAGTCGGGCCTGTAAACCTCATCAGTCGCCTCATCGATCTCCTTGTAGGCGGCATCCAAATATGCCTGATATTGGTGGTAGCGCCAGTGGTCGTGGAGGATATCGTGGGCGGAGCAATAGGACTAGAGCAGCGCCTCCTGCTCGTCCACCTCCATGTCCGCCGCAATACCAGGGCCGATGGCCAGTAGATTTTCTATGCGCCGGTGCTCGTCGAGGAGGCGGGGATTGTAAGCTTGGTCGGCCTGCGTCTGCCGGAATGCGACCCCTCGCTCCTCCAACACCATGTCGGTGTAGTGGGCATGTACCTCGCCCATGGTGATGCCGACATTGCCCGGCGCGGACGATGGCGTCGGCTCGCTCGTCGTCCGCCTATGGCATTTACGTGTCCGCAACGCCGGACTTAGGTGAGCTCAAGCGTCTGGCGGCCTGTCAGCCGGAAGCCATGGCAGCGAGCTCCTTCTTTTGGTCGGACGAGGCCATCGCACAAAGCTTTAGAGCTCGAGAAGGCCACGGCGGGTGTGCTATGGAGAGTACATAGAGAGCGAAGGAGGGTGTATGGATGCAGTTGTGTTGCCGGCCTAGGGTTTAAATTGCAGGCCGATGGCAGACCATGCGGCGAGGTCCTTAATGGTGGGTGGCGGAGGGCCGAACGGGTGGCTGCGGAGTAGGTTCCTATATTAATGGAGGGAGGCAGACAGACTAGTGTTGTTTGAATGCGGAGAGGCGTCAAGTGCACCTGGAAGCGGCACGGGGCTCTAGGTTGGCGTCGCTTCAATGTCGGCTCCAGTGAGTGAGTGGTCGCGTCCGCTCTGGGCCTGCATAGATGTAGTGCTGACTACCTATACTGGCTCTGACCTTCGTCGAGCAGGAAAGCACACATGCGAGGGAGGAGGATTCTGGATGGGCCAGGGCAGTCAGACGAGGGTCTGGCAGCGGTCCGAACGCTCGCAAAGCCCCTCCACTTTGTTTCAGATTTGCGGGGAAAAATGATTCCAGACCAATCGACCAACCGATACAAGACAATGTTGGATGTCAAAACACGTCCGGACCGCGTGATGCGAATGGTTGCGGGCGGTTTAAGGATCCGCATTGGAGATACCCTAATCAATAAAAACATGTCCTATAGATGTGCATCTTAAGGTAGAGAAGACTGGTACTCCTTTTTGAAAAAAAATCAGAATATGCTCTAAGTCGATGTAATTTTTGGTCAACTAGCCTTTCCGCTTAAGATATTATAAAATAGATTTTTGACCAGCTTTAAGTAAAGCATCAACCATGTGACATACAAGTAGCAAAATAAATAAAATAACTAAGAGCATCTACAGCCAGGCATTTCAAACCCGTCTCAAACGTCCGGACGGACTACCCGGTGAGTGACTGGTCAGAAAACCCGACCCAAACAAGTGCCTCAAACGAGTTTCAAATGCCCGGACTGACCGGCACCCCTCATATCATCCCTAAATATGGGGGCGTATATGGAAAGGCCCAGGCGCGTCCGGACGTGTCCCAACGTCGGACGGACAACCGGGTCCCACACGGAATCGCCCGGAAAACCAACAGTCTGACATGTTTCTCCTCCAGTGAGGGTGTGAACCCGCGTGGCGCTGCTCCAGCTTGCTGCTAAAGTCCAGCTATTTAAGCTGGTTGGTGTCCCAGCCCTAGCCACAACGATTTCCTCCCTCTTCCCGCCACCAGCCCAAGCACATTCCTCTTCGTCTCCACCTCCCTCTTCCCTCTTCCTTCCCCGCTCGACATGGCCCGGCAGAAGAAGACCGCCTAAGCTATGCTAACGCCGTAGTGCCGCTTCCAGATTGAGGAGGAGATTCGGGCCAAGCGCGCTGCCGAATCATAGCGTGCCTACCCCCTGACTCGCTGGAGCTGGAGAAGGAGGAGGAGGAGGAGGAGGAGGGGGGGCAGCAACCGGAGCCGATGGAGGGGGCGGATCGAGGATGAGGCGTACGTGGAGTCCAACTGGCACTTCCTCCGGCAAGAACGCGCGGAGACCGACACGCTCTTCAACGGATGCAGAGATGGAGACCCAGTCGAAGGCAGTGGACTAGCCGGAGGAGCCGGAGTTGCGTCTGCCCCATTTACGCGGAGCCCGAAACGGAGATAATGGACATCTCCGACGACAACGAGTAGCATTGTCGAGGATTTAGTCGATCTACGTACTAAGTAGATGTTTATTTGCATGATTTATATGGTTTTAAAATTTCACACATGAGATGTTCGGATGCAAAAAGATATTTAAAAAGTGTCCGATCAATGCCCGCGGGCGTTTGAGGATTGGATTTGCCAAGTCTAGCTATAGGTGCTCTGATGATGGGGCAACAACAGGAGACCTGCCCAAAAGCAGAAAAAAGGGTGAAACATGACTTCGCAGAGTCAAGGGATGAACTGCTAGCGTGTGCGCAAAAAGTTATCCACCGGCTCCTGCTCCTCCTTCAAGAAAGAAAGTTAGGGTTCGTGCCTCTCGCCGGCGCCGGCGCAGGTACGCCTCGTCTCCGGTGGTCCTAGGGTCATGGAGGCGCGGTGGATCCTGGCAAGGGCCGGCGGGAGGGCTCCGCTTCTAGTAGTTTTTTTCAATCTTGTTAGGGTTTGTGTCCTACTCAGGAAGGCGAGACGGCGGCGGCTCCCTGAAGATGGAATAAAGGTCTCCCCGCCTAGCCCCCGTTCCAGTGGTGCGTCTAGCATCGTTGGTGGGCGTGTGGAGGTGTGTCTCCGGCAGATCTATCTTTGGTGGATTTGCTCGGATCTCATCGTTGTGCGTCTACGTTCGTGTGTCTTCGGTTCGTATCCTTCCGATCTACGTTATTTTTCATCGGCGGCGGTTGCTGTTCTGGGGTGCCGGTCCTATGGGGCCTTAGCACGACGACTTCCCGACTGTCTACTACAACAAGTTGTGCCCGGCTCCGGCGATGAAGGGGCGATGACGGCGGTGCGCCTTCGGCTCGCTTCGGTGCTTGTAGTCGTCGCTAGGTGGTCTACGAATCTGGATGTAATTTTTATTTCTAGTATTCATTGTACTGCCATGATTGAGGATGAATAGATTGGAAGTTCTTTCGCAAAAAAAAAGGGGGATGAACTGCTAGCGGGAGCAGCGAGATGATGGCTGGCCACTAGAAGATCATTCCTCATGTCGCCTGGCCGATCGGTGTCCTACGTCTATATAGCCGGCGCACGGCTGTAAAATTGTCAATAATTAAAAAACAGAGTCAAAAGCACGTCATGAGAAGAGCCTCTAAACAACCATTTTGGTACGTGTGGTTCATAGGATACAGGTCATTGGTCATACCATCTTGAATTTTGGATAATATCAACCAACATATAGCTTTTTTTCGAAAAACAAAGAGTTAATTCCATTTTTACTCTTTCTTTTGTCATTTTTACACAGATTTCCATACTCAAGTGATTTTTATTCATTTTATCCCATTTAATCAAACTTGTGTCATGTTATATCTTTAAATAAATGTGCAAGGTTTGTCAAGCTGGTACCAGATGTGCACGTGACACGCCATTTTAATGAGTTTTTCTTCCGTAGCTGGTTTCTTCACGTGACGGTGAAAAAAAAACCTTTGAAATGACGTGGGACCTATGCCCTAACACGTGGGACTAACTTGACATAACATGCACAATAAAAAAAATTGAACATCAATACAGACACAAAGCGCTCATATACAAGCGCATACACTCACCCCTATGAACGCACACAAGCATATCCTACCCCTATGAGCACCTCCGAAAGACTGAGCCGGCATATCATTTTGAAATTTACGAAGTCACCGTAGGCAACTCGTTATCGACGGGAACGTCTCTTCCCACTGAATGTGCATCACTGAAAATCCTGAAGTAAATATAGGAATAAATGCGAGCACCAGGATTTGAACCTGATGGGCTGAGGATACCTCAGTTCCTCTAACCATCCAACCACAGATTGGTTCGCAACATGCACAATAATAATTTAAAAGGGTAATCCCTGCATTTTTTTTAAAAGGGGTAAAATATGGCAGAAGTCCACTTAAATGGGATAAAATGAATACAAACCTCTTAACTGGTGAAGTCCCTGTCAAAAATGTTGAAGAGGGGGTAAAAGATGGAATTAACTAAAAAGACACATAGCTCAGTTTTCAAAACGGACTTTCTCTTTCTATTTATAGGTGGCACATCGAGACGCCAAGCATCATCGAGGGCTCCGTGCTGATCATGTCCAGGACCGGGCTTGGACTCTGCATGTTTAGCATGGGTAAGCAGCCATGAAAACAATCTCAAGAAAAGAAGACATGAACAGTAAACTGATTTTTTTTTAAAAAATATTAAAAAATTCAATCTTTTTTGTGATGCAAGATGCTCAAATGCGTGATGTTCGTGTAAAGATTTGTGAATTTTGGACATCTGATGAGCTCGTGTTAAAAAAATGGGTATGTGGGAAACATTTGAAAACAACACTGTTCACAACTGATTTTGTCTTTTTTGCCGCGCGCTTCTCGAATGTCCAAACTTCACCAAATTTTGCACGAACATCACGCACATGCACATCTGGCTTGCAAAAAAATTAGCATTTTTTAAAAACCATTTTTACTGTTCACCGGGCTTATCTGAGCCTGGACACCGAAGTGGATATTCGACTCTATCTGGAATTTTTTGCATAAAATTATTGGTCTTGGTGGCAGGGATGTGAGAAACATTTGAAAACAACACTGTTCATGTTTGATTTTGTCTTTTTGTCGCGCGCTCCTCGAATGTTAAAACTTCACAACTTTTGCACAAACATAAGGCACACATCTTGCTTGCAAAAAATGTTCAGATTTCTTTTTATATATATTTTTGAATTATTTTACTGTTCACCGTGATCATCTGAGCCCGGACACCAAAGTGGATATTCGATAGTATCTGGCATTTTTTTGCATTAAAATTGTTTGTCTTGGTCGCAGGCCAGTTCATGGCGCTTCAGGAGAGGGTCGTCGCATGCGGGGCCCAACTGACCGCCGTGGGCATGGCGCTGCGGTTCCTTGTCGGCCCGGCCGCCACGGCTGCCGGAGCCGTCGCTCTGGGGCTCCATGGAGACGTCCTGCGTGTTACCATCATTCAGGTACGTACCATCAAGCTGGGGTACGCATATGCATGGTCGATTGAATGATCTCTCTGAATGTTCTTGCTCTGCATGGTGATCAATCGACAGGCTGCACTTCCTCAAGCCATTACCACGTTCGTGTTCGCGAGGGAGTATGGCCTACACGCTGATGTACTCAGCACCGCGTAAGTTGCTCTAAGCTTTTGGATACAAGGGTATCTCCAACGCGGATCTTTAAACGCCCACAACCGTTCCGATTGTATCGTTCGAGCGTGTTTTGCCCTCCGGTGCAGTTATGTATCGCTCCGCCAACCGATTCAAACACATTTTTTCCACAAACCCCATACAAATTGCTTTTAGGGAGGGAACTTTGTGGGCGTTAGGACCGCTGCCACGCTAGCGTCTAACTATCATGACACACCCAAAAACCCCATCTCTCCCGCGCTTTCCGACCAACGCCCGCGCCATTTGTTATACCGCATTCATGCCGGTCCAGAACATGCAGTGGCCGGCATTGATGTCGAGCGATGTGACCGAACGTGAAGGCGGAGTCGACAGACGCGACCTCTCGCGCGTCGCCGCTTCAATGCGGATGTCGAGTCCCGGAAAACCAACTTCGGCCGTCGCGCCGCATTGAAGCGCGCTGACCGGCCCTTCACATGGCCTGGCCACAGCTATTTAAGATGTGCACCGGCGATGCACACATCCACACTGCATCGTATCTGAGCTTCGCCTCCTTGAGCCCTTCTTCCTCAGCGAGCATCTCCAATTTCGACGAAGCCGAAGTCCTAGTTCTTCGTGCTGGCAGGCAGAGGTAGTGGTAGGTTTTCTTCAGGCGGATCATGGCGCTGCTGCCCTCGCTCTCCAGGCCCCTCGACATCCACGACGGCCGGCTTCTCCGGCAAGGAGGAGATCGCCATCTCCACAGCCGACGTGAAGAACCAGGCGCCGCCACAGGAGCAGCTCCGCCTCCTCACTAAGGCCGCGGTGAAGGACGAAGAATTCGTCTGTCAGATGGGGATCATGATAGATCGATTGTTATGTCACATGGGCCTGGCACCACCATCACAACCGTGTGTTGTCAAGGAGGAGGAGTCGTCCCCGCCATGCTACCGCGTGAAGCGGGAGCCGACGTCCCCACTCTGGTGAGTGAAGGAGAAGCATGCGTCCCTGCACAACCGAGCGGCCTCCAGATCGAACGATGCGTCAAGGATGAGCCCGCTCAACCCCCACTCCCCGCGCACGCAACCACGACGTCCAAATCGAAATCCGCATGAAGGAGGAGCCGATGTTGCTGTAGGCGCACAACCGCTATACCCGTATTGACGGGCCAGTGTCACCGCCCGCCCGCAACCGCCGTGGGCAGTTCGTCCAGGATGAGCTGCTGCCCGTGATCACGAAGGCGCCAGGCCGCATCCCCCATTACCCGAAGGCGGTGTCCCTCGGGCTCGAGAGTCGTCGTGTCTGAGGAGGAGCGGGCAGCAAGGCAACAGACGCGCTACGACCGGCGAAACGCCGCCCGCCGCTCCACGTTCGCCTAGTTGGACGAGGCGCCGGAATGGGTCCGCAATGGGCCAGATCTCATCACCGCATGGGCCCTCGACTGTTCCGTCACCACCGTGGAGACGGCCACCCTGCGCCGCCGCCTTGATGGTGAGGAGTGGTCGCTTAGCGACGCCTCCGCCAACGCCTGCAGGGGCAAGGTCGCCGCCAGAGCTCCGCGGGCGCCGTTGGCGTTGGCCGCGGCGGCCCTACACACCATGCACGAGGAGGTGGAGCGGCTCCTTTGCGAGCGGTTGGCTGCGGCTGCACCGGCGCCCTACCGCCGCTGGATGGACGACGGACGGACGGCGACGGCGGTGCGGCCGGGCAGGGCGATCATGCGTACGAGGTGGTCATCCAGTACAAGCTATGCTTTTTTTTAGTTTTTAGTTAAACGCCTAAAATGTATCGGTCATATATGTAAATTATTTTCGAACTTGAATGAAATTCGATGTTTTTGTTTAAATTTGTCTGAGTATTTTAAATCATTTTAAAAATGTTTGCGGATAGCTTTCGATGACCGCCTTCCGTATCCGTGTTCCGGACTGGACCCTGGTCCCCGGATCGATATGGAGCAGATTTGGGGGTCAACGTTGGAGATGCCCTAAGTTTAATACAGCCTGAATTTTTCTGCTTCCATAGCTGAGACTGTGTGTTTTTTGGTTGAATCTTGCAGGGTTATATTCGGGACGTTGATGTCGCTGCCCGTGTTAATCGTATACTACATCGCTCTGCCCTTCATAGAATAACTAAACATTTCAAAAACACTGTGTTAATATTACAACATTTCAAAAACACCCTTGTGGAAAGTAAAAATTCGTCGACAGCACCTGGGGATTGCGTCGTCTTCAACCTCCGGAACGGGTGGATGGCTCCATTGCATAATTAGTCACAGGATCTATCTTGTCTAATCTTCATAGAGGTCAATGGGTAAAATAGGGCTACCCCTTCTATATTATCAGTTTAAGACATGCATACATTGAAATTTAGAGAGTGCCTGATCACTTTGCCAATTTAGTCATATTAGATAATCTTTATCTTGTATAAGGTTCATGGACCTGAGCAACAGGTTTATGTTTGTGTATAATTAGTACTTCCGTTTACACCTTCCTTCGATAATTTGTGCTTAAGATTGCACGTACCTACACTCTTGCACGAATAATACGACTATACGTTTGTCTTTTTTTTCTCATGGCGGAAGTAGAGTTGATGTAGCATGTAGATGCAGATCTAGTCAAATAGCGCTATCCTCCTACGAGATCCTACACGCAGTTCGTCCAAGTGTTCAAGATGCAATGCCTTCAAAGTATCCACATGTACAGAGCAGAATGTTCGGTGATGGATTGCTAGATCCGATCACAACACAACTCGGTCATGGAGGTGATAACAACAAGGGTTTCCAATCCCTTGCTCAAGTGATCCAATTGGGTTACAATCAACTGTATGCACATCCTACTTATATAGATGTCTTTAGGCATGCTGAACAATCGCGTCCCAACTAATATCCACTCAGATACTATTCGAGTTGATCTCATCCCCTTAAGTGTGTGCGCTATAGGTTCATGATCTATTAGGCAAGTCTGAAGTGGCATTAGTAGATCTCACTTGACCTTCGAATACCTCGTTGTTCCCCAAGCACACTACTCCGATCTCAACTTACTAAACTTGGATAATACTCCCTCCGTTTCAAAATAGATGACCCAACTTTGTACTAAAGTTAGTACAAAATTGACTCATCTATTTTGGAACGGAGGGAGTAGTTTGTACCAGCTCCCAATGACATATTTGTCAGCTTATCCGCTCTTCCTTGCAACGAAAAACCACATTTAAGTGGAGAAGTAAGTATCACAAGACAATTCCATTATAGATTCACAACAACATATATATACAACAACTCCAGAGAGCCAAAATTAACAAATTGATACATACAAGGGTCTTGCGATCAAGACTCACAACGGAAGCAAAATATACCTTAGACACGTAATAAAGTTTAACAAATGCCGTAAGAAGGCTTACAAAAGCAAATGATGTCTATATCCCCGCCCATGCCACTGTCCGGGGAATAACCAAGCTAACGTCGTCCTTCACCGTACCCAGCCATAGCTCTGAGTGAGACCCATCCATTGTGAGCCGGGTCAGGATCGGCTAGATCTCCACAAAGATAACCATTGTCGCGCCACAATCCTATATGTACAAAAAGATCGACCGTCCATCCATCATCGACATACATATAAATCATCTGTAACAGGAATATAAACACCAAACATGTGTATGCCAAATGGAAAGTCAGAATTAAATTGGCCCTTGGACAAGTTTGTAGTGTGATTAGTGCCTTTAATGCAAATGGAAAGTCAGAATTAAATTGGCCCTTGGACAAGTTTGTAGTGTGATTAGTCCCTTTAATATCCGGGTAAGGAGCAGAAAGGATTCTCGCATTTTTACCCAGAGGCGACTCTGAGTTATCGAACCCACGAGAGGACGACACCCTTTAAGTAAGGACGCTGATAATGCCTACACGTGTGGTGAGAGCGACACCCGCCCACACGCCATATAGTACACATACTACGCCACGTCCTCGCATGCATGCATGTGGGAATCTTTTTGGATTTCCAGTTTTTAAACTGTTTTATCTCTTTGACGAAAAATCCGATTGAAAATCTTTTTTCACCATTAAATCAATCACGATGAGATCTTCGAAATTAGATCTCATATCAATATGTTTCGACGACTTTTAAAAGTTGTCATGTCTATTGCACATGAATTGCCATGGTGTTTACACTGAAGTTGTCATGATATGTTTCAGCTATTTTCTTGTACATTTAAAAGAAAATTTTGACATATTATAAAGCGGGGAATTAAGAAACTAGATTTGCCATGAACCATAAACTAAAATTTTCATGATACATACACTTAAAATTGCCATGGTTCATACAAAAAATAATTTTCATGGTCAAAGTACTGAAATTTTCATGGTCAAAATACTAAAATTGCCATGCTCTATAAACTAAAATTTCCGCATGGCAACTTTAGTGCAACACTATGACAACTATAGTGTAAACATCATGGCAACTTTTGGCCAAATTGTTTTTTTTGTCGAAACATATCAACATGGTATCTAGTTCTGAAGATCTCGTCGAGACGGATTTAATGGTTAAAACCGATTTTAGCTAGATTTTTAATTAGGAGATAAAATATATTAAGCCGAAAACCAAAAGATTCCCGCTGATGTCATCTGTTTTGATGTGGAATAATGAATGGTACTGGAGGCGTTTGAGCCATGTTGCTTCATGCCACATGTGTGGGTGTTAACATTTGCGTTAAGTAAAGAGTTTCTAACAAGCTTTTGCAAAAGAATTAATTCCAACTTTTTGACCGGATCGGAACCAAGTTGACACTAAGAACACTTATAATAAAAATAGGCATGGGTGTCAAACTTATTCTTACAACCATATATTTGGGTTAGGGCCATTATGATCTTAATTTGTGCCCTGAAAGTCATCCATTGAGATGTGCTTGCTATGTATTGCAGTGAGGGATGTGTTCAAATTATACCAGCAGGTGTCATACATCAAGAGTCAGTTGCCCAACCAAAGGCCCTATCCATCGCGCAGGGTTTCCCTGGTAATTAAGATAAAAATCAGACAAAAGCATTGGGTGTTTAATGACTACATCTCTTGTATCCCCACAGATAGGATCTGTGTTACCGTACTAAACCTTTCTGTCACTCGTGTTCAGAATAACACATCTCTGTCTCCTTGCCCTTAGCCTCTCTATGGCTCCTTCTCCATAATCTAACACTACTGCAGAAAAGTCTAGCTATGGTGTGGCAAAAATGGCCTTGCTGGCTTTGGTACCCGACGCCATTGCTAAAAAATAGTGGTGACGTTGGATCCCACATCAGCAGTATTTTAGAGAGTGATGGAGTGCCACGTGTCCAAGATCAACAGTAATATTCATCAGTAGTGGCATTCCATGTTGGTGCTACGCCAGCAATTTGATTTTTAGATTTGAAATAAAAACTAATTGGACCAATGAAGGAGTCACATACCAAGCAATAATCTCCCAAAGTAGTTTTGCGAATGGATCTTTGAGCTAAGAGATCGAAAATCGTAGCAAAACGAGCTAGAACTCGTGCTTGAGCTGGATGGGGATTTTTTTGGATAGAAGATGAAGTGTGTGGGTGCTGGCATAAGTGGAGGGGAGCCACCAGGGGCCCACGAGACAGGGGATGCGCCCTATGGGGGGACCTCCTCTCTCGTGGCCTGGTGCTTGCCCCTCCTGCAGTGTTTTCAGTGCCTAAAATCCTCAAATATTTCAGAAAAAATCATACTAAATTTGCAAGGCATTTGGAGCACTTTTATTTTCGGACTATTTTTTATTGCACGGATAAATCAGAAAACAGACAGATAATACTATTTTTTCTTTATTTATTCAAAATAACAGAAAGTAAAAAGAGGGTACAGAAGGTTGTGCCTTCTAGTTTCATCCATCTCGTGATCATCAAAATGAACCCACTAACAAGGTTGATCAAGTCTTGTTAACAAACTCATTCCGAATAACACGGAACCGGAGAAATTTCGAATAACACTAAGTTACCTCAACGGGGATATGAAAATCCCCAACAATAAGAATATCATACTTTTTCTTGACAGTAGGAAGAGGAAATTCAAAACCTCCAAAAATGATAGTTGGAACTTTTTCAATAGAATTGATGCTATGAACTTGAGATTGTTTCCTCGGAAAGTGTACCATATGCTCATTACCATTAACATGAAAAGTGACATTGCCTTTGTTGCAATCAATAACAGCCCCTGCAGTATTAAGGAAAGGTCTACCAAGGATACACTACTGGAATCAGCTACTTTGCCATCTACCAGCTCTTTGCCGTTAGTTAGCAGACGGCAAAGAAGCTCTTTGCCATCAGCTACCCGAAAGCAGACGGCAAAGAACTGGCTGATGGCAAAGAAAGCCTTTGCCATCAGCCTGTTCTTTGCCGTCCGCTAGCTGAGGGCAAAGAATCTTTGCCGTCCGCTAGCAGACGGCAAAGAGGGAGGAGGGCCCCACTGAGGAGCTGGTTAAAAAAATACTTAACGTCCCCCCACTTTGCCGTCCGCCGCAGACGGCAAATATGAACAAAAGCGGACGACAAAGGAGGGCGGACGGCAAAGGCTACCCTAACTAACCTAACTAACGGCCGAGCCCCCTCCCCCGCCCGTTACTCAT